TATTTTGTTTGAGGAGTAGTCAATCAACCACTTAATCAGACAATTTTAAAATGAATAAATAAACATGAATATCAAAAAGATAAATACATTTTACATTTACATTTTAGTCATTTAACAGACGCTCTTATCCAGAGCGACTTACAGTTAGTGAGAGCATACATTTTTTTTGTTGAAGTCGGAAGTTTACATACACCTTAGCCAAATACATTTCAACTCAGTTTTTCACAATTCCTGACATTTAATCCTAGTAAAAATTCCCTGTTTTAGGTCAGTTAGGATCACCACTTTATTTTAAGAATGTGAAATGTCAGAATAATAGTAGAGAGAATGATTTATTTCAGCTTTTATTTCTTTCATTACATTCCCAGTGAGTCAGAAGTTTACATACGCTCAATTAGTATTTGGTAGCATTGCCTTGGGTCAAAAGTTTCAGGTAGCCTTCCACAAGCTTCCCACATTAAGTTGGGTGAATTTTGGCCCATTCCTCCTGACAGAGCTGGTGTAACTGAGTCAGGTTTGTAGGCCTCCTTGCTCGCACACGCTTTTTCAGTTCTGCCGACACATTTTCTATAGGACTGAGGTCAGGGCTTTGCCATAGCCACTCCAATACCTTGACTTTGTTGTCCTTAAGTCATTTTGCCACAACTTTGGAAGTATGCTTGGGGTCATTGTCCATTTGGAAGACCCATTTGCGACCAAGCTTTAACTTCCTGACTGATGTCTTGAGATGTTGCTTCAATATATCCACATAATTTTCCTTCCTCATGATACCATCTATTTTGTGAAGTGCACCAGTCCCTCCTGGAGCAAAGCACCCCCACAGCATGATGCTGCCACCCCCGTGCTTCACGGTTGGGATGGTGTTCTTCGGCTTGCAAGCTACCACCTTTTTCCTCCAAACATAACGATGGTCATTATGGCCAAACAGTTCTATTTTTGTTTCATCAGACCAGAGGACATTTCTCCAAAAAGTACGATCTTTGTCCCCATGTGCAGTTGCAAACCGTAGTCTGGCTTTTTTATGGCGGTTTTGGAGCAGTGGCTTCTTCCTTGCTGAGCGGCCTTTCAGGTTATGTCGATATAGGACTCAATTTACTGTGGATATAGATACTTTTGTACCTGTTTCCTCCAGCATCTTCACAAGGTCCTTTGCTGTTCTGGGATTGATTTGCACTTTTCGCACCAAAGTACGTTCCTTCCTGAGCGGTATGACGGCTGCATTGTCCCATGGTGTTTATACTTGCATACTATTGTTTGTACAGATGAACGTGGTACCTTCAGGCGTTTGGAAATAGCTCCCAAGGATGAACCAGACTTGTGGAGGTCTACAATTTATTTTCTGAGGTCTTGGCTGATTTCTTTTGATTTTCCCATGATGTCAAGCAAAGAGGCACTGAGTTTGAAGGTAGGCCTTGAAATACATCCACAGGTACACCTCCAATTTACTCAAATGATGTCAATTAGCCTATCAGAAGCTTCTAAAGTAATGACATAATTTTCTGAAATTTTCCAAGCTGTTTAAAGGCACAGTCAACTTAGTGTATGTAAACTTCTGACCCACTGGAATTGTGATACAATGAATTATAAGTGAAATAATCTGTCTGTAAACAATTGTTGGAAAAATTACTTGTCATGCACAAAGTAGATGTCCTAACCGACTTGCCAAAACAATAGTTTGTTAACAAGACATTTGTGGAGTGGTTGAAAAACAAGTTTTAATGATTCCAACCTAAGTGTATGTACACTTCCGACTTCAACTGTATGTGCACAGTTTTACCTTCCACAGTACATTTGTACTACTGAGAGCTTACAGCACCATAAATACACATAGCAATGCTGAAAATAGTGCATTAAAGGGGAACAGTGGGACTAGGGCCTGCTAAGGTATGGACAGCAGGCTGACAGCTGTGGTAGAGTGTCGTCACTAAACAGTAGCATCGGTACAAGCAACAAAAAAAGGCCCATCATTTTAATGCCGTGGTCTACTTCAATAATGCTGAAAGCAAACCAGTCACATTCATGATATGCACATCCCCCTTAGTTGCATAGCTGACACAAAACAAAACAATTCACATTAAAGGTAAGCTACACTACAGTATGTTTAATCTGCACATACTGTGCAAAGAACGTTGGTCAGCAGTTGAAAGGAAGAGAAAGAGAGGTATGAAATACATTTTTACTTCTATATGTACAGACCAATATAAATGAGCGCTTGATAAATAAAAATGATATTGATTAGATTTATTTGAATATTAATTTAATTTCATCATGTCTGATGCTGCCTTCAAGTGCTGTCAGAAATTCAGAAATACGAGGTTCCGAGTCAGAAATAACCAATTACAAGTGGAAAAGCCAGTGATCATTTTGATACCCAAGTTTATGAGTTGTGACATTTAATCGCTGAACTTTCACCTTTTCAACCAAAAGATGATGAAATAAAGCCATGTCAAACAATGTCAAACTTTGACAATGTGGATAATGTAGCTAGTTTGACATTATTGTTGGCAACGTTAGCAAGCTAGCTTACTTTATTATTAGCAATGTTAGCTAGCTCATCTAGCTAGCTAAATTCCATTGGTCGGATAATTGTTCCGACTTCAAAACTTGAACACAATCATGATGTATTTACGACTTCACAAATGGGAAATGAGACTCCAAGGAGCATTTGAAGGCAGCATTATACCAAAGTTGCATACATTTACATTGCTGAATAAATATATATATATATATATACAGTGAGGGAAAAAAGTATTTGATCCCCTGCTGATTTTGTACGTTTGCCCACTGACAAAGAAATGATCAGTCTATCATTTTAATGGTAGGTTTATTTGAACAGTGAGAGACAGAATAACAACAACAAAATCCAGAAAAACGCATGTCAGAAATGTTATAAATTGATTTGCATTTTAATGAGGGAAATAAGTATTTGACCCCCTCTCAATCAGAAAGATTTCTGGCTCCCAGGTGTCTTTTATACAGGTAACAAGCTGAGATTAGGAGCACACTTTGAAAGGGAGTGCTCCTAATCTCAGTTTGTTACCTGTATAAAAGACACCTGTCCACAGAAGCAATCAATCAATCAGATTCCAAACTCTCCACCATGGCCAAGACCAAAGAGCTCTCCAAGGATGTCAGGGACAAGATTGTAGACCTACACAAGGCTGGAATGGGCTACAAGACCATCGCCAAGCAGCTTGGTGAGAAGGTGACAACAGTTGGTGCGATTATTCGCAAATGGAAGAAACACAAAATAACTGTCAATCTCCCTCGGCCTGGGGCTCCATGCAAGATCTCACCTCGTGGAGTTGCAATGATCATGAGAACGGTGAGGAATCAGCCCAGAACTACACGGGAGGATCTTGTCAATGATCTCAAGGCAGCTGGGACCATAGTCACCAAGAAAACAATTGGTAACACACTACGCCGTGAAGGACTGAAATCCTGCACCGCCCGCAAGGTCCCCCTGCTCAAGAAGAACATATACATGCCTGTCTGAAGTTTGCCAATGAACATCTGAATGATTCAGAGAAGAACTGGGTGAAAGTGTTGTGGTCAGATGAGACCAAAATCGAGCTCTTTGGCATCAACTCAACTCGCCGTGTTTGGAGGAGGAGGAATGCTGCCTATGACCCCAAGAACACCATCCCCACCGTCAAACATGGAGGTGGAAACATTATGCTTTGGGGGTGTTTTTCTGCTAAGGAGACAGGACAACTTCACCGCATCAAATGAAACGATGGACGGGGCCATGTACCGTCAAATCTTGGGTGAGAACCTCCTTCCCTCAGCCAGGGCATTGAAAATGGGTCGTGGATGGGTATTCCAGCATGACAATGACCCAAAACACACGGCCAAGGCAACAAAGTAGTGGCTCAAGAAGAAGCACATTAAGGTCCTGGAGTGGCCTAGCCAGTCTCCAGACCTTAATCCCATAGAAAATATGTGAAGGGAGCTGAAGGTTCGAGTTGCCAAACGTCAGCCTCGAAACCTTAATGACTTGGAGAAGATCTGCAAAGAGGAGTGGGACAAAATCCCTCCTGAGATGTGTGCAAACCTGGAGGCCAACTACAAGAAACGTCTGACCTCTGTGATTGCCAACAAGGGTTTTGCCACCAAGTACTAAGTCATGTTTAGCAGAGGGGTCAAGTACTTATTTCCCTCATTAAAATGCAAATCAATTTATAACATTTTTGACATGCGTTTCTCTGGATTTTTTTGTTGTTATTCTGTCTCTCACTGTTCAAATAAACCTAGCATTAAAATTATAGACTGATCATTTCTTTGTCAGTGGGCAAACATACAAAATCAGCAGGGGATCAAATACTTTTTTCCCTCACTGTATATATATATATATATATATATTTTTTTTTTTTATATTACACAAATTGTAATGTCCCTTCATCTGTGAGTTCCTACCAGACAAATGTGTCTAATTTCTCTCTCATATGACAACATTTACTCAGCCTCAGACTCAACACCTGGTAAGTGACAATGTGACCTCATCATCAGGGACCACACAATAATGGAAATATGTCTCAGTACGAGGTAAAACCGTCAAATGGATAAAATGACCAAACAACAACAAAAGGCAAGTTTGTGATCATTGACAGATGGCTGCTGAAACTTATTTTTTAACTTCTCAGCAGAATGACCATTGACAGTTCTGCCGGTCTGTGTGAATTTGACCCTTGATGTTGACGTGAAGGGGAAGTCCTGCAGTGCTTCTCAAGTGACACCCTATTCCCTGTAGTAGTAGTGCACTATATATTGAATAGGGAGGGGGTCATCAGAGATAATGTTGTGTCCCGGTTCTCTACCCTTTTCCAGAAGTGGGCTTTAGCGCACGTCACATCATGGATATTAAAGCATAGGATTGGTTTATGCATTGGCTGGAGGAAGTTTCCACCGTTGTTGAAGCCATGTGATTAAGTGTGCAAGTGCACGCTTCAGGAAAAAGGTGCAGAACAAGGACAGCCAATGCCCCTGATCCTTAGGGCACATCACTGATACTGCTCCTGGTAGTTACCATTAATATGGTGGGAGTTCCCATCCTCCTCATCCTCCTGCATGGTGACTCCTCTCTTCTTCTTCCAGCCCTGTTTGCAACCCGACGGGTTCTCTGTGGTTCCATAGCTCTTCTTCGGTGCCATGGCAATCTCGCAGTTGAGCTCCGTCTCTTCGGCCAGCTCGTCTTCGTCGATGATGCCGATCTTATCGTCGCTGGTGCTCTCCGGGTCGGCCCAGTCCTGCTTGTCGCCCGAGGCGAAGATAGCATAGAAGATGACCCCCGTGTAGTGCACCATGGCGGCAATCACAAACACGTTTTGCCACTCCAGACGGGTCTACAGAGGGAGAAAGACTTGACTCAGTGACCAAACTGTCACACTTGTCTGACATAATGTTTGATTTGATTGACAATGTTGTAAAATAAGTATCTCATTGTCTCGGTGACCAGTCGTGTTACTCGTGTCCTATACGGTATTCATATTAGGAAGTCCCTCAGGGGGAGTTTCGCCTGACAACTAAGGGACTTCTTAATATTGATGCCGTAGTCTTATCCTGGCTCATTTTGCTAATCTCATTGAGAGCTGTTAGAATTTGTCTGTAATGTTGAATGTTACAGTACCTTGTGTTTAGTCAGTGCTCCAACGATGAGGGGGCACACCATTCCAGACAGTGTGCCAACGCCATTGGAGATGCCCATTAGGATACTGGCATAGCGAGGGGCAATGTCCAAGTGGTTTACATTGAACCCTGGGGATGCAGTAACAAGTACAGTCCATCAGTATAAATTGTTTATGCCACTGTCAAAGTATATTTGGGTAATTAAAAAGCACTACATAAACCCTATGTATTATTTATTATTAGACACTGAATACCACACACTATTCATGCTGTCACTATTCAAATTTTCCTTTTGGATCATCCATTTGGATTAATAAATAACAATTTAGCCAAATAGTAATGTAATGTATGAATTCAAGAGGAAAACACTAAATATCTGTCTAACTCTTGCTTGCTCTGCCAACAGTCTATATTCTAGGAAAGTGCCATAGTGAAGGTATGAGGGGTAGGGTATATACAGTGAGGGAAAAAAGTATTTGATTTTTATTTCCCTCATTAAAATGCAAATCAATTTATAACATTTTTGACATACATTTTTCTGGATTTTTTTGTTGTTATTCTGTCTCTCACTGTTCAAATAAACCTACCATTAAAATTATAGACTGATAATTTCTTTGTCAGTGGGCAAACGTACAAAATCAGCAGGGGATCAAATACTTTTTTCCCTCACTGTAAATGAATTACTGCAATGTGCTTTCAGCTGCTTTTTGCCAATGTAGGGTGCAATAGAGAAATTGCTCACAGCAGAGCAAAAGGTAAACTTTATACAACAGATAGAAAACCTCATACAACTCATCGTACCACTCCAGTACCCCTGCACATTGAAAAAGGTACTGGCACTGACCTGTATATACTAACATTCTCGTGTTGCTTCAACTTATATCATACTTCTTGTTTTTTTTTTGTGTTTTTTAAAATATTCTATTCATGTATTATTATATATTATTATTACTATCACTGCATTGTTCAGAAAGAGCTCTCAATGTAATAATGTCACTGTACTGTTTTACACCTGTTGTATTCTGTGCACGTGGTGAATAAACTTTGAATCTTGAACTGAGGCTTATCAAACATAGTTCTGCAGCAGTAACAGAAGGATACATCTCCAGACTAAACATTTATTCATGGTTTCACAACTTTACAACAGAAACACACAAATAATGATGTTTGTAACCTAATTCGACTGAATAAGGTTATTAAACATAAATTAAACATATTAAACGTAAATACATCTAAAATTGCTCTGAACTGAAGCTTTATACCCGAGATGGCAAAGCCACTGAAGCCCACAGCCAACACCAGGAAGGAGATGGCAACACCACGTGTGTGACTGAACCCCACCACCAGCAGCAGAGTGGCCTCCATACCAAAACCTGCAGGGGTCACAGGGCACACAAAGATCAAAGGCTACCTTACCACATCCTGATTGGTATGCAATGCTGTACTAGCTTTATCAGACCTGATACAGTATCATACCCAGCAAACAGTGAACATTCCTACAACATTAGGTAACGTTCCAAGGGAGACCCTATTTTTTTTCCAGTTAACGTTACTTTAGCGTGACAACATCCCACAAATGTAAAAAAATCTAATAAAAAAATCATGAACATTGGTAGAAGAACATGCCATAATGGTTATAAGAAAGTATGGAGTCTTGCAATATCGGCTAGTTTTATGCCCTACCTAAGAGGAAATCACAGTGCCTTCAGAAAGTATTCACACCCCTTGACTTTTTCTAAATTGTGTTGTGTTACAGCTTGAATTTAAAAAGGATTAAAGTGAGATTTTTTGTCACTGGCCTACACACAATACCCCATAATGTCAAAGTGGAATTATGTTTTTCGAAAGATTTACGAATTAATTAAAAATGAAAAGCTGAAATGTCTTGAGTCAATATTCAACCCCTTTGTTATGGTAAAAATATGCTTACCAAATCCTATAATAAGTTGCATGAACTCACTCTGTGTGCAATAATAGTTTTTAACATTATTTTTTTAATGACTACCCCATCTCTGTACCCCACACATAGAATTAACTGTAAGGTCCCATAGTCGAGCAGTGAATTTCAAACACAGATTCAACCACAAAGATCAGGGAGGTTTTCCAAGGGCACCTAGATGGGTAAAAATAAAATAAAAAGCAGACATTGAATATCCCTTTGAGCATGGTGAAGTTATTAATTACACTTGGGATTGTTTATCAATACACCCATTCACTACAAATATACGTGTGTCCTTCCTAACTCTTTTGCCAGAGAGGAAGGAAACCGCTCAGGGATTTCACCATGAGGCCAATAGTGACTTTAAAACAGTTACAGAGTTTAATGGCTGTGATAGGAGAAAACAACATTGTAGTTACTCCACAATACTTACCTAATTGACAGAATGAAAATAAGAAAACCTGTACAGAATAAAAATATTCAAAAACATGCATTCTGTTTGCAACAAGGCACTAAAGTAATACTGAAAAACCAATTGGCAAAGCAATTAACTTTCTGTCCTGAATACAAAGTGTTATGTTTGGGGCAAATCCAATACAACACATTACTGAGTACCACTCTCCATATTTTCAAGCAGAGTGGTGGCTGCATCATGTTATGGGTATGCTTGTAATCTTTAACGACTGGGGAGTTTTTCAGGATAAAAAATAAATGGAATGGAGCTAAGCATGCAAAATCCTAGAGGGAAACCTGGTTCAGTCTGCTTTCCACCAGACACTGGGAGATAAATTCACCTTTCAGCAGGACAATAACCTAAAACACAAGCCCAAATCTACACTGGAGTTGCTTACCAAGAAGACAGTGAATGTTCCTGAGTGGCCAAGTTACAGTTTTGACTTAAATCTACTTGAAAATCTATGGCATGTCCTGAAAATGGTTGTCTAGCAATGATCAACAACCAATTTGACAGATCCTTTTAATCCTTTTTAAATTCAAGCTGTAACACAACAAAATGTGGAATAGGTCTAGGGGTATGAATACTTTCTGAAGGCACTGAATGCACAATGTAAGGGAAATGAAGTCCTTCTGTCCTGGGTACTATACCTCCGCAGTTCATGATTTTCCGGACGTTTGTAGTTGACAAGATTTTACGACTGCGTAGGAAGTCGGCCAGCTGGCCACCGATTGGCACTATGATGGTCATCACCATGTGAGGAACAGCAGACAGAAGCCCCACCTTTGAGGAGGAACAAGACAACACTCAGAAATTGTTTTAAGAGCGTGATGCTAGATGATGAGTTGATTATTTGAATCGGCTAGGGCAAAAACCAAAATGTGCACCCCCTGGGGTCCCGAGGACCGAGTTTGGGAAACGTTGCTCTAGACCAGTGTTTCCCAAACCTATCTTTGAGTACCACCAGCCAGTCTTCCTATTTCATGTATTCCAGAACTAGCACAGCTGATTTAACTAATGAGGAGCTTGAGGATTAGGTGACCTTTTGAATCAGCTGTGCTAGTTCTGGAACACATCAAATACGTGGACAGGCTAGGGGTACTCAAGGAGAGGTTTGGTAAACAGTGCTCTAGATTATACTGTAGATACATGTGTCATGCAGTTCATTTATACATTTTATTTTCAGTATTATGTCAAACATTTCTCTAACATACTGTACTTTCTCTTATGTAAGACATCATTGAAAATTTATTATGATCCACTTGAGTCTTATGATAATGAGAGTGTTGTCCCATTTACTATGGATAACAAATTGCAAAGAGACTTCTTAGATCTACACCACACAGAGAAGACCCACCTTGCCAATGGAGAAGCCGAACACCTCTTCGAAGTAGGCCGGCTGGCTGATCAGGAGCAGATAGAAGGTCCAGCTACGGCAGAAATTAGCCACAATGATGGCATAGACAGGCATTGAGGTGAAGAAACGACGCCATGGAGTCTTGAATTTCTGTGGTGGGCCAGAAATAGGGGATCTGATCTTACTGACAATCTCAGGGATCAATTTCAGGGGTCAACCTGGGTTATGTATTGGGTTATGTTTTCATTTTCAAGCGTGTCACCGATTTCAGGGTAGGTAGCCTACTGTTGTTAACCTGGCTTGAGTCTCGGGTAATGTTTTCATTTGTCAAGCTTGATAACATTTTAGATATGTGTCACAAAACTTCTATAAGTACTTACAAGAGCATGATATTTGAAATAACATAAGTCTTTATTATACTACGCTAATGTATCTGACAGCAGCCAGAGTGAGCAGCAGCATACCTCAGTGGCGCTCAATATTTTGACCCCCTCGCCAATGGTGGTCTCTATGTAGATCCTCTCCTCATCGCTTATAGTGGGGTGGGCGGCTGGGCTCCCATAAGCAAGCAGGAGCCAGAAGATGTACCATATGATCCCAAATACACCTGAATACACAGAAATAAACAACACAGGTCATCAGCAACGCTCTTATTGTTATATGGGTATAACAAAATAGTCTGTTTTTACTAGATTTCCAGATTACGGTTAATATTGTAATTATGAAGCATTTAGGGACAGATTCCTGGACACAGATTAAGTATAGTACCTGCACTAAAAAGCAAGCTCCATTGGGAATCTGCATTGAAAATGATTTTTAGTCCAGGATTAGGCTTAATGTGTGTCAGAGAAACCGCGCCTTAGGGCTTTGTTATATATCAGAGATGGAAAGACGGCACACCTCATTCATTGGCTCATCTTTCCTGCTGACTTGGAAGGAATTCTAACCCATAGGAAGTCCCCCCCACTTGACTACTTTAAAATTATGAAAGCCTTCCAATGGTGCTGCCCATGCTAAACAGACTTTGTGGCAAGTGCGCCCTCTATCCATCTCCATGTACATGTAAGTGATATGGCAGCCTAATTATAACTGGGCCTTGACCTATTCTAGACCTAAAGGATCTTTCAATATTCAAATAAAATGACAATGTAGGAATCCCAGACGGGAAAACATTCATTTCAGTCAATTAATCATGTGATTAGATCACAAGAGAGCTACAGAAATGATTTTGAAACGCAGCAGGCACAAAGTGTCTTATGAGATTGTGAATATCTTAATCAAACAACAACAAAACAGACGAAGCAAAGAAATTAGAGAACAATCTAAGACTGGTGTAATGGTGAACCTCGGCAAGACGGAGCTGCTCTTCCTCCCGGGGAAGGACTGCCCGCTCCATGATCTCGCCATCACGGTTGACAACTCCATTGTGTCCTCCTCCCAGAGTGCAAAGAACCTTGGCGTGACCCTGGACAACACCCTGTCGTTCTCCGCTAACATAAAAGCGGTGACCCGATCCTGCAGGTTCATGCTCTACAACAATCGCAGAGTACGACCCTACCTTACACAGAAAGCGGCACAGGTCCTAATCCAGGCACTTGTCATCTCCCGTCTGGATTACTGCAACTCGCTGTTGGCTGGGCTCCCTGCCTGTGCCATTAAACCCCTACAACTTATCCAGAACGCTGCAGCCCGTCTGGTGTTCAACCTTCCCAAGTTCTCTCATGTCACCCTGCTCCTCCGCACACTCCACTGGCTTCCAGTTGAGGCTCGCATCTACTACATAACCATGGTGCTTGCCTACGGAGCTGTGAGGGGAACGGCACCTCCTTACCTTCAGGCTCTGATCAGACCCTACACCCAAACGAGGGCACTACGTTCATCCACCTCTGGCCTGCTAGCTCCCCTACCTCTACGGAAGCACAGTTCCCGCTCAGCCCAGTCAAAGCTATTCGCTGCTCTGGCACCCCAATGGTGGAACAAGCTCCCCCACGATGCCAGGACAGCGGAGTCACTGACCACCTTCCGGAGACACTTGAAACCCTACCTCTTTAAGGAATACCTGGAATAGTATAAAGTAATCCTCCTCCCACCCCCCCCCCCCCCCATAAAAAAATAAATAAAAGAAGGTGGTTGTCCCACCAATTTGTAAGTCGCTCTGGATAAGAGCGTCTGCTAAATTATATAAATGTAAATGTGATACTGATGACATAATGACCAGGGTGCTTTGCATGTCACACTAGTGACACCTAGTGTAATGCATGGAATGTTGCTCAAATGGGAATCACCCACCTACTTTATCATAGTTGGGCCAGGTCTTGTGAAAGCTGTTAAGTCATTTAAGTAATTAAGTTGAGACTGAATATACATTTTGCAACTCAAAACTCAGTTTCTCCCCCCTATTGCTAGTTAGGTCATAGTCATCTCCCTGTTTTACAAAGATCACTATCTTTGGTAATTTCCGCCATCTAGAGTATCTGAACTTCAGTGCATATATTTCAATGATTTTCCCTACCAAAACTCAATATGCAAACCTTAGTATGCATACCTGTATGAAAGAATTGTAAAAACACCTATACAATCCACATTGGTTCAATTTAGCAATTTAACAATTTAATATTGAGTTTTTGAATCTTACCATAGATATAGAAGACTGAGGGCCATCCAACATACTGAACCAGTACACCTGCTAAAGGCATGGCAACCACAGCACCTGCATATGAACCTGGAAATAAAGAAAAGGGAAAACATGATCATGCCACTGTTGTAGTTCAATTCTGTCAGCATCTAAAGGTAACCAAGAAAATCACTAAGTAGTGATGCCAAGGTATCAAAACAATCCAGAGGTAGCTTCGACTGAAAAAAGCTTTGACTATTACATTATCATTACTCTTCAGCCCCTCAGCAACTCTTCTTCAACACTAGAAAAGTACTACTAGAAAAAAAGTATGACATGTCGCAAAAACATGAATCATCTCAGTAAGCGTAAATGTCATGCAACAGCAACCCTATTGGACTCATCAAATTAGGATTCATTGGCACCGTCCTTGGAAGAGGATGTTTTAATGTATATTTTATTATCTGATGGCCTTATAAACACTCTCCATTTGAATAGGCCGGGGAGCAACCTCCTTCAGAGTGAGCAGGTAAAGCGTTTGAGGGCAATCTTTCATTCAGAAGCGATGTCAAAAGGGTTTGGAAGCACCGGTTGTCATGGCACCAGTTTATTATGAAAGATGGTTGTTTTAATGCATTTTCAGGGGGGAACAACAGCCGACATCTGCAAAACAAAACCACCTCGGTAACACATCAGTTTAAGGGGTCCTTATTACAGTGTAATTACATATGTAATTACACTGTAAGAAGTATTGTAATTAATTGTAATAATTCAACGTTACACTGTACTAACAACATGTAACTGGTGGTAATTGCAGTCTGTAATTACAGAGATGTAAACTAATGCTTGTTACCATGCTTGTTACAAATGTTCAATTCAATTCACACCATTTTTCAGCCTGCACAAACCACATTAGAAATATTAGCCAATTGAAAACCAACCACCTCATTGACACAACACAAGCTATAAAGGGCTCTGGAGTCTGATGCCCAGGTCCAGGCCCAGGTCCTGCCTTCGTTTGAAATGCATGGAAGCTCATGAGCACTATGGCAAAAACAGGGTTTTACATAAATAAATAGTTTAAATTGTTAAATAGTTTAACGGTGAATTTGACATGTAAAGCAACAGTAGCTAAGGAGGGCGGGGCTTGACAAAGGGTGAATTACTTTATCAAGAATCAATCAAACATTTTTAACACATTAATAAAAAGTTATGGCAAAAGATGTGGGGATAGTCATTCAGTGTTTGCCAAATTGTGAGCCTATTAAGCTTGGTTGAATAATGGTTTATAAATGCACTTAAAATGGTCATAAAACAACCTCTTATTTCATCATGTAACCATGCAATTTGTTTTGCTTTTTGGATACAGAAATTGTGCTGGACGATTTAGCATAGGTAGTTAGCTAGCTAGCTAGCATTCTACCTATGCTAAATCATCCAGCAGAATACCAAAAACTAGCTAGCTAATGTTAGACAGCTAACTTAGTTAACATCCACAGAATAGACTTTCCATGCCTTGACAGCTAACTTTAGCTAGCTAGCTACCTACAGCTGGAAAATAGCTAGCTAGCTGGGCTCGATCATGGTCTTATCTTCCCTGAACCTTGTTCTCAGGGTATCCATACCCAAGGGTATTACGTGAGACACACCTAGCATGTTAGCGTTAGCTTGTGTCAACACACCTATGAATAGTTCCTTTTCAATGTAAACACTAGCTAGCTTATTAGTGTAAGCAAACACCATTATAAGTATTATGGTAGCTGGATAACACAACAACTAACTAGGTAGCTAGGTCTAGATATAGGCTTAAACCCTACAAAAACATATAATAATGATAGCAGAGATATTGGAGGAAGTTTTCTGTACCATCTCTGTTGATAGCTAGCTAGTAGGCTAATTGTCTTTGCTAAATTGTCATATACTGTAGCTACATTCTTTTTCTCCGCCACAGACTGTAGCTCAGCTGGTAGAGCACGGCGCTTGTAACGCCAAGGTAGTGGGTTCGATCCCCGGGACCACCCATACACAAAAATGTATGCACGCATGACTGTAAGTCGCTTTGGATAAAAGCGTCTGCTAAATGGCATATTATTTATTATTATTATATTCCCACAAGGTCTCAGACTCCAGGATTGGAAAACACAGAGACAGATGAAAACACAGACGTTGTCGATTTCCATTGTTACTTATAATGTTAAAAAGGGGAGAAAAAGACAATCCCATTTTCTCTGAATTAGCTAGCTAGCTAGCCAGGTTGCTCAACATACTATACGCTGCAGATTTCAGTCACCACTAAAATGGTTATTTTATGTTATTGAGTAGGCCTATATCTTTGATTATTCTAATTAATCAAATTATGAATCCAACAATAAAAATCATTATTATTTTGTAGTCTTTTTACATGTTACAATAAAGTTTACTAAAGTAGAAGCTCATCTTTTGGTTGATTTCACTTGGTAATGAGTAGTAAGTACATTAATGGTATATATATAGTTTTTGTAAACTCAGCCAAATGAACACAGATTATACACTTTTGGGGGGCAACTGCTAACAACAACATTGAGTTGAGATTGTGAAGAATGCACATTCACGGGTAGGTAATTAGAGCCTATTGAGCCTCAAACCTTTCTAATCTTGGACACCCAGCGCATCTGTCCAGCAATGAGATATCTATTCAATGGCTTCATTTAATCTATTAGGGTTAACTGTGGTTATGGGTACAACAGAAAGGCAGGCAAGGTAGTTTTTGAATATCCATTCGATTTACTGAATGAATTAGATTTTTGCACTTTCACCACCCTGTGAAGTTCATCATAACTTATTTCATCTGTAGCCTAATAAATTGCATGGTTTCCCTGAGTCGTAGTGGGAGGACCACACACCATATCATCGCATGACTCCAAGTTTACTTCGATATGATGGCTATTATTGATATCTTTGCAAGGGGGAAGATGGTGGAGGCCCATATTATCAATATTTGCACACCGCCATTTCGCGCATAATTAATTTTACAGAAACAAAAAGATCCCACCATGTCGAATGAACAAATGATCTGTCTGTATTTATAAAATTGTGCCTTAAAGTCTTGTTTCCATCACAGCTCTCGTGATTTTTAAAATACGGTATGACTTTCCTCGCATAAAAACTGTGGATGGAAATGTGGTTAGTGTTCATTTCACTTACCACAGAATGAGGTGGTGGCCAGTCGACTTCTCTCTAGGGGAGGAGCCCATTTGGCCCACATTCCATGGCATGCTGGGTAGGTAACACCCTGTAGAGGAAACATTACAGGGCATAATTATTCTGAATGGTCAAATAATCAACCTGAATAAAGAAATACAGATATAAATTGTGTCCCCGTACTGTATATGAGCTTGGTCAAATGTATCAGTAATTATGATGACTAATGTTGCCACCTTCAATTGGGCTACATTTAGTAGATTTGGTTTAAATTTGGCAATGAAAGTGTCAATGAAATACGGCAACACTGAAGACGACTCACCTCCACCAAGCCTTGTAGGATGCGGACTAACATGACACAGCCGTATTGCCTCCTGGCTGCTGACGGGATGAACATATTCAGTATGGACGTGAGGAAAATGGCCGCCCCAAACACTCTGGGGAAACATTACATTATAGTGTATAGACAACAATGGTGAGCAAAAATTACTACAAAGGGTAGCATCGTCCAATATTTGAATACAGGATCTTGTAGGATCTTAATTTAAGCCAGTTTGCTACAGCAGGAAACAGTAACTACGCAGTAACTACGCCAACAGTCAACACCAGCCACATGCAGGACCTGCAGAAGGAGCTACATGAGCTAAGGCAGGAATTTCTCAGCCACCACCATCCACTCTACAGAGTCCCACAAAAACCCAGGACCAAGCCTACAGCTGAATCAGAACCCACCAACCAACCCAACCAACGCAACAACCCAACTGACCCCCTCCATCCCTGTCTCACGGCCTGTAATTACTCCCATCACTCCTGACATCCTCCACAGATCTGAAGAGAAAACAGACAATATATTAAATGATGGACTCCAATGGAAAGTTTATATTAGAATAAACTTTTCCCAAATAAAAAGGTGGCAAAGTTATGGTGCCCCACAACAGAGAGAGCTATGAGGCTCTTGACTGTGGCCCAGCTTGACTCCCTCAGCCGTATCATCATTCACACATAGACCAATGACCTGCATGCCCAACAGGAGAGGGTGACCACATCACTAAGGGCAGTGATAGAGATGGCCTCCACCATCTTCCCCCTTGCAAAGTTTGTAATATCTACCCTGCTCCAGAGAGATTTCCACCCTGCCACCATCCAGAGGGTAAATGCCAGCCTCTCTCAGGACTATGTGCTATGGCCCAACGTACACCTGGCCCACCATCCCACCCTCAGCCTGGACTGTCTTTACGACAATGTACACCTGTACAAAGAGACAGTCCCCACCTTCGCCAGGACGTTAAAGGATGTTGCTTTGGGTGGCCAGTTCACCTCACCCCACAGGAGCAGCAGACCAGCCACCAACTCCCTGAGACAAATCAGACACTCCTTTAGACCTGCATCCGTTGGCGCCTCACAGAGGCTGGAGAACAGCCAGCAACACTGCCCCCCACACCACCCTCCATCTCTTCTCTCCCAGGAACTGCATGCAGATACACTGAGCTATGTCCAAGCCGTAAGCAGTCAAAGAGGCCCCACGTAGAGTTTGGAGCATCACCGGCCACACTGCCCTCCACACCCCCCTCTTTAATTCCCCCTACAACCTCCCTCCCATGCTACCAGACCAGGCCCACCTCAGCACAGCTCTACCAGACCAGGCCCGCCTCAGCACAGCTCAACCAGACCCAGTCCATCACAGCTCCTCTCTACCAGACCTGGCTCATCACAGCACAGCTCAACCAGACCCGGCCTGCCTCAGCACAGCTGTACCAGACCCAGCCCATCACAGTACAGCTCTACCAGACCTGTCCCATCACAGAACAGCTCTACTAGACCCGGCCTATTACAGCACAGCACAACTCTACCAGACCAGGCCCACCTCAACTCAGCCCAGCTCTACACAGTACCGACCAGTACCCTAGGGTCTGGCAAAACACTGTCGAGGGTAGTGCACCACATGATGCAGTCCACACCATGTATCATTCACATCAGCCCTCATATGCTGAGAGTTTGGAGCTTCACCAGCCACACTGCCCTCCACACCACCCTCCTCAATTCCCCCCACAAACTCCCTCCCAGGCTAGTTCTGGTTACCCTCCATACTCCCATCCCTAGGATAGGCCTGGGACACTCCTTCCCTCCATGGCAGCCCCAACCCTGCAACAGAAGCCACACCAAGGCCTCCTGTGCACACCCAGAATGGATCATTTGCACCCACTCCGGTCCCTGCAGCAGTTCCACTCGTTTGGCGGGAGCTTCATCCGGATGGACTGAGCTCTGCCAACACTGCTCTCCCTGTTTCAGCCCCAGCCCCTGCATCCAGCGACTTGAGGGAGTCTGTTAAATGCTCTCTCAACAAATAGCTGCAGATGACCCTATGCTTGTTAGCTCTTATGGGAATGAGCTGAATACCCCCTCTGAATTTAAATCTTGTAGGGGGCTTTGGCTAATGCACCTAAATGTGTGAAGTATGATTTTTTTAAACAGGACACAATTTACATTTGGGTACAGGACTCGTGTCCTGATATTCTGGTTCTCTCTGAAACATGGTTCAATGGTTCTGTCTCTGATAAAGACATTGAAGTAAATGATTACAATGTATTTAGATGTGACAGATTACAGAAAGAGGGAGGAGTGGCCATATATGTAAAATCTAATTTCATGGCGTCCCAACCTGTAAATATTTCTGTTCCTAGAAATTTGAGCTCCTGGTTGTAAATGTGTCCACAAACCAGATTACACATTTATTTATTGCTGGGATTTACTGCCCCCCGCTGCTGCCATGGCGGATGCTATTGGTGCTATAGCTGAGTGTTTAACACCTTTTCTGTCCTCAACGTTGGTCATTTTAGGGGATTTGAATCTGGATTGTCTATCCCTGGCCTCAGATCAATTTAAGAGTATACAGTATCCATTCATTTTAATCTGACTCAATTTATTTCAAAACCCACACGGCTAAATGTGAAAAACCCTGTTAACTCCTCATTGATTTATTTAATTTGTACTAATAACCCCCATAAATATGTGTCTAGTGGAATATTTGCATATGATCTCAGTGATCATTATCCCACAGTATGTATTAGAGATACGAAAACAGCAAAATTCTAATCCTTGTTTAATTAAGAAAATAAAGTTAAAGTTTTCTCCTCAAGGGTTTTTACATAACATATTCTACTCTGATTTAGCCACTGTCTCCTGTATTCCTGACCCTGAGTTGGCTCTAGAAAATGTATCCTCTATATTTATTCCTCTGGCAGATAAACACACCCCTTTTAAACAATTCAGAGTCAAAGATAGCTCTGAAGAAAACCAAGGGTTAGATCTATCTGAGCTCATTCAAATGAGAAATCGGGCCTGGGCCAAAGCAAGGAAAACTGACTCTGTAGTGGACTGGCAATCGTTCAGACAATTGAGAAACAGATGTAGTATCTCGACTAAGCTCTATCTCTGACTCTGCTGGTGATCCTTCAAAGTTTTGGAAAACAGTAAATGCACTGAAGCGTACAAATTCATTTTCTTCCCTGCCTAAGCAAGTTCTGTCTGATTATGACATAGTAACTAAGAAGAATGGGATAAGTGATGCTTTTAATCATCATTTTATCTCGGCAGGCTTTTTATTTGAGAGAAACTGTTGTTTAATTGACGTAGAAGTGTTCAGAAACATATTACATTCTTATTTACAATAAAAGTGACTCCAAAATGACACAATACATTATTTACCATTCATTTCTATTGGGCACAACATAATCTGAAACACAACCAAAACAAACTGCAAATGCATTCAACAAGTTTGTAGAGTCACAAGCGAATATGGGACCAAATACTAAACTTTTGACTACATTTAAAACACTAATGTGAATTTGTCCAAATACTTATGGGTAAATCTATTTGAATTCAATCACTTTTTGACAGCACCCGTTTTGATTTGAAAGAAACCTTCCATACATACAGTATTTGCCCATTGTATAAGTGCTCAGAAAGTTGCTTTTTGGTCCTGAAAGCAAAACAATTCAAGAGATAAAAGTGCTCAAAGTTTGCCCCTTTTGATCAAATACTTATGTCATGCAATAAAATGCAAATTAATTACTTAAAAATCATACAATGTGATTTTCTGGATTTTTGTTTTAGATTCCGTCTCTCACAGTTGAAGTGTACCTATGATAAAAATTACAGACCTCTACATGCTTTGTAAGTAGGAAAACCTGCAAAATCGGCAGTATATCAAATAATTGTTCTCCCCACTGTATGTATGAAAACACCCTCAGATAAAAGGTGACATTCTGTACTGTCGCTTCATATAAAACATTGGATCTCAAATCCAAAATGCTGGCGATATAGAGCCAAATGAAAAGTTTTTGCTTCACTGTCCAAATAAATACGCAGGAGTGTATGATACAGTAACAGCTACATAGAAAATTATAAAATCTTGAAAGACACTTGAAATACAACAACCATGTCAACAACAACCCACCACAGTTACTGTCATGGCCTGTACCGCTGTAGATCTAAACGTTATAAGCAGTCACAGGGTTAAAAAAATGTGAGCACCCAAGACTACCTCCATTGATTCAACACCAATCATCAATGTTCCTGAACTAGTCAGTCCCTCCCAGGTCTCCCCTAGCCTCGACTCCAGATGTTCTAGATTTAGGAGAATATGGTGTGATCTCTGGCACTGCAAGACTAGGTCTCCCCTTCTGACAGCTCAAAATGACCAATCCAACATAACAATATGACAGATGTAATATATCTGCCTTTGAGGGACAGAGATCCCATATGATTCTGCTTCATCCCCATTGCTCCCCCTTTCTTCCTTCCACCCCTCCCCTTTTCCAAAACAGAGTGTAAGTGACACTTGTAATATTCCAGTGGCTGGCGTCTCAGGGAGAAATCAGAGGCAGGATCTTTCATTATTAACTCTGTCAGTGGCGTGTCCTCTTTTCCTGGGAAGATTTTATTACAGGACTACTATCAGCCCCATCAGAGCTGCACGCTCACCACACACACACACCGGACGGTGTCAACCCTTGCTGCTTTAACCATTACCTAACACACACACACACACACACACACACACACAAACACTGCATGCCTTTTTCTCTTAGGCAACTGAAACCTTTCAGATATAGCTCTGACGCCACACACTGACTACCAATGCCAAATACCCCATATTTCTGTTCTAAACCTCACCACACACATTGACTGACTGCCTAGTTCAGACACCCAATGTGTATGTTCCTGCCCTTAGCACAGGTATCCATTCCAAACCACCGGTATCTATAGTCAATGATCTTGAGCCACCCCAGTCACCTATTTAACACTCTAGTCCACCCACAAACCAGTTCTATCAAAATACCTTATGAATATTTCTTGAATTTCCTGAGTGTTTCAGTATAGTATACAGTGTCCATATTAGGACAGCCCCAGAGTCACAAGGAGTGAGAGCATTAGCAGTGGGAAGGTCTCACCTGTTGGCGTCCAGCTTATTGGAGATGAAGCCTCCAGGGATCTGTGTGACGATGTAACCCCAGAAGAAGGAGCCATGGATCAGTCCCACAGTCTCTGGGTCCCAGTTGAATTGAGCTGGCTAGGGAAGATAGATATAGGGTCTTTAACTGGTTACGAGTTATTTCACATAATAAGTGTTTGTGTGTGTGTGTGTGTGTGTGTGTGTGTGTCGGGGGTTATTATGTTGTTAGACTTTGGAAATAGAACCAGAGGACTGTTTGGGTGATGCTGCTGTCCTTCAGAACAACACTTGAACTTTCCCATCCAAATATCAGCTGTTGAATAACTATTTTCATACCATAGGCCCATTTATTTACCGTTTGA